AGTGTTAAATACCTCATAAGAGTGGAGAGTGGGCTACTAAAAACCTCTAGTATACTGCCATGTTGTTTTGAAATGTTAACATAATAATACATATATTAATAATTAATATAATATTTAATAATATAATAATACAATTATATATATATATAGTACCTTAATAAAAGTAAATATCAATGTATATAATACAAAGTTCCACAGTAGCCTACTATTTTAGGCAGCTCAGTAGTTTTTGCGACAGCTTTAGCTCTGTCTGTTTAGTCATGTTGAGAGAAATTGCAGTTTGTTTTGATGCTTTTCCCATTTTATTATAATTGCGGTATTTTAAGAGATGATGGATTGAGTAATTAGTAAAAAACAGCACATCAGACTGTACACACAATGTAACGTTTTTGGTACAAACTATTACACCTTTGACTTATTTTTATTTTTTAAAACCCATTAAGAAGCAAAGGACATAAATGAGTCAAAATAAACTGCATTGATGCTAAATGCCTGATGTAATTGATATGTTGATGTGTCTAATTAACTTCCAAGTAATGATCCTCCAAAACAACTTCACTTTAGTATTCAGATTGCACAGATGTTGCTATGGTGACATGGTTCTCCATAGCAACAGAGAGATGCTGTGTGAAATTTCAATGTGCGTTCAGTGAAACGCCATCTACTGGAGGGTGCCGTGCAAATGAAGGAAACAACAAATTTTCGTATTGATGATCATGTTTATATTAATTAGCTAGATATATGCTCTAGTCATGCTCAGATACTCACACTTTTTAATAACAATAGGATGGCTAACAAACAGTTAAAGGTAGTACCAGTGAGGGACTGAGAGATTGTTTACAGTACATAATGATGTCAAAGATTTTAATATATGTTTTTTAATCGTCTTTGATACCAAATTTGGTAGTTTTATCAGCAGAATGTAATAAGACAAACCAACTAAAACCACAAAGCATCACGGAATGCGGTCAAATAAATGTCTAATACTTACTAGTGTTTGTGCTGTTGTTTTCCTTCCAAAGTGATGTCACTTCCTGGAGGATGATGCCATTGAGAACTGCTTTTGTTAAAGGGATTGTACAAAAGACTAACAGGATGGAAATGATAATATGGGATATCAATAATCCTAAAAATCTTATTATCAATGAAAACAATATCCCAACACATGCTTTTGAAAATAAACATTACCATTGCCAGTTTTGATTTAGAAATACATTGAGACAAGTCAAAAATGGCAACATCTACTCAAACCAAAGTAGTGAAATTATTTTAAAAATTGCTCCTATGTTTAATTAATTTTGTGAAACTGGATGTATAACAATTTAAATACTATGGTGCATGAATGAGATAATTGCACAAGTACCATGGTGCCACCACTGTGTGTTACTTTCAGTCACAGTCAGTTACTTTTGGAAAAAATACATTTATTTTTGTATGCAATATTTTGGATTGCAATAATTTTCAATATGTTTTGATTTAGAAATACACTGAGACATGACAAAAATTGCAGCAACTGCTTACACTAGTGAAAATTCACTGCTATATGTTCAATTAATTGTGATATTGTGAAAAATTAAAATGAACTAATATGATTTCCATCTTTTAAATTGTGAATTAAATATTTTCTTGAAACTGAGACGTACATGATGAGGACAATGAAAATGTATTTTATTTTGCATGGCATAAAGTGATGTACTACTTTGATTAATGATCAATATAGACTCTTTTTACAATTAAAAATGTTATTTTTAAATAAAATTCATTACATGCTGCTATCCTCCTGCTGGTAGAAATAGTCTCTAACGTAGGCTAAGGTTAGGAGCTAACCTATACGGGTGTTGCATAGTGATCTACAGTAGCCAGCAAAAGTCTGTTTTATAATTAACAATACAATGTCTTGGGCAACTGGCACCTATATAACTCTTTATAGTGATCCTTACTGCAAAATGAGAGTAGCATTGTGTCTTTAATTCGGATGCCACATTTAACAGAGACATAGGTCAAACAATCAAATGTGTTTATTAGAATGATAAAATCTCCATGTCGATTTACGTTTGAAAATAAGTGTGTGCTTCAGTACTGAGTCGTGTGTGTTGATGTGTGAAACTGGGTGTATATGTGTGTACTTCTATACATGTGAGATTCTTTAAAAACCAACAAACGATCAAAACAATTTTCACTGGATACCACCCCTGGACTTCTATACACAGGGACATTACATCATCGCCAGCGGAGGGGTGGAAATCAGGATTTGAGCTATGTACAGAGCATCTGAGTCTAGGTAAACAACTCAACGTAACACTGATTCAGTCTTGCCCTTCGTGTTGAAGGCAAATCTGTGTCACCATATACACTTACAAAATGCCAGTTATCAAGAGCTCAAGAATCCTGCTTCAACATTTGCAAAGTCTGTGGCAAATAATAAATGTGATAGTTTAGTTTGTGGAACAAAAAAGCGAATGAAACATTGTGGAAAAAGTCAAACACACATTATTGACCTTGATTATTGCAGCTACAGTAGTGTTCTTGTTGCAGCATGACAGCAAGTGCTTATGGGAAAAAATTGTTTCAATACATTCACAGCACATTCAACCTTTCCCTTCGACAATAATAGACCAGAATTAACACAGATGGCACTGTGTGAAAAAGTCAATGTCACTCAATATCACTTTGAGCAGTAAAGGCATAAAAACACACCAGAAATCATCCAAACAAAAGGAAAATATCGTGAAGTGTAAAATCATGGACATTTAAAGCCATTTTAATTCACACCGAGAGACTTTCTGCTAGAAAGAAAATTCGCTTTAGGCACTGAATTTTCAAGTTAATGTGTGGACACTTGTATCTTTTCATTGAAGGCAGTTTGTGTGTGTTTCTTGAGTCTTTAAAGAAATAATCCGGAATTATATTGGGAACTAGACTTAACATTTTCTCAAGAAAAAACGAGCAGTGTTTTTCCAGGGAAAACACGCTTCTACGATATTAGCATGTTGCTGTGGTTGCTTACTAGCTCAAGCCTAAATTTTCTGCTTCAAGAGAAAAAAAAGTTTTATCATCCACCAGGCAAGAAACTAAAGTCTGATCACTTAGAAAAGTAAAAGCACACCTCAGCAAGCAGCTCAATTTGAGGTATCGATAGCACAAATAGCGTGTGACAAGTAACACTTTGAAGAAACACTTGTTTTGGCGTCTTCGTAGCTTATTAGCAAACCTAGCAATTTCATTTTCTGTTGGCAAACACTTATGAAGATAGAAATGGCACAGTTTCTTTTGAAGATTGTGAATCTGAACACTTGAAAACTTTGAGATGTTTGCTGAAAGTACATGATATCTTCCTGACGTGCTCCTTATGGTTAGCACATTAGCATATAGCGCATTTGCTACTTCCTGTATTTGATTACATGCTTTAGTGTCCTTGACCTACAGGTAAGCCTCTATATCCTTGCATTTCCTATTTCCTGTGTTCAGGATCATATTTCCTGCCTGGTGTATCTTCCAATGCTGAAGAGAGGAGAACTAAATACATACACACAGTAATTTAAACACATAAACACACACATACGCACACACATAGCGCAATCAACCATGACTCTCCTTTCAGCTGGATTTATGAGTTAATCAATGTTCAACCGACCGTAGCACACAACTGCAGGAGTGTGTGTTTTCTGAGAGCATCAGCAATAGCGTGTTCGTGCTCTTTAGGATAGAGGAGTATGTTTAAGTGATGCGTGTAGCATGTGCTTTTAATAAGAGGCATCTTGCAGGTGCATGAGAACCATTATTAAGTGCATTCCTGTGTACTCAAGTGTGTGTGGCAACTCATCTAATCAGACATCTGCTTTCAATATGTCACAGACTGATGCTATTAGACATTTAATAACAATGCTAGCCTATGTGGAGACGTGCAGGCGTGTGTGGGTCATGCAGAAAGAGGAAGCTGGTGAAAAAGAAGCTATTTTCCAAACCCCAGAGAGCCACCTTGTTGTCTGCTGTCTTTTTAAAGGGGTCATATTATGCTTTTTCACTTTTTCAACTTTAGTTAGTCTGTAATGTTGCTGTTTGAGCATAAAAAAGATCTGCAAAGTTACAAAGTTCAAAGTCCACTTCAAAAGGAGATATTTTATTTAACAGAAATCTTACTTTTCAAAAACTACAACGAACGACTCGTTTGGACTACAACGCACAAGACTTTGTAATAGAGCATAATAGGACCCCTTTTAAGGCAGAATACAGACCAAAATTTACTTGTGACTGTTTTGAAATAATCTTTTCGGACAGCAACTCCATTAACAGTGCCCGACACAGAAAGAAACTTGATTAATTCTCAAAATAAAGTTAATTCCACTAATCTGACGATAGCATGTTACTTAGCTAACTTTAATAAGATCAAAAATAGTACATTTTACTTTTTCATTACTTAATTTGAATAGGATGGAACTATTTTCTGTCAGTTACCTTTCCAAATGGTTGCATGCCATAAAGTTTATTGTTTATTCATAAAATGATTGTTTAAAATTCACATTCCAAAGTCAGTGGTTCGATTCCCAGGGAATGCATGAATTGATAAAATGTATACCTTAATTGCAATGTAAGTCACTTTGGATAAAAGCTTGCCAAATGCATAAATGTAAACTCTGTCTCCCATCTTGAATTAAACTGCTTTAGAATTTGCTGGCTAGGTAGGCAGCTCACTAGGGTTTGGAACAGAGCCAGCGAGTGTTTCTCTGTACATTTGATTATGATACTCTTTTAGTTTTCTAATATAAGGTCACAATGACTTAAGGACACAGGGTTTTCTCTTTGACAGTTCCCAGATACATGACTGGAAACATGCAATCTATGATCCCTGTTGATGTTGAAGAACTTTCAAAAGGACTTCCATGATTAAAAACCAAAGCAAATAAATACGAAAAGGAGGGGAAATGTATTATGATGGATATGACAAGCAAAATAATTGGTTACTTCACAGACAAACAACGCACCCAATAACATAACTGGCTTCAAGTCACATGACATCTCTTGACTTTGTAGTCCTTGTAGTTCTCGCATTGTGATTCCTCTTCTCCGGGTTTCCATTCCTGTTTGCTCTCCTTCAGAATCCAGGAGAAACAAAAGATGAAACGGCATCTTCAAGAAGAAGAGTCCAATGGTCCTTAAGATCTTTTTTTTTTTTTTAGAAAACGGCGGGTATATTTACCTCAGTTCTCTGCTCCATGTTACATTTTACATATTGTGTAAAAAAATTCACTGTACAAAAAAGGAAGAAACAAAACAAAAAGACAAAAAAGACTTGGAATCCAGCGTGTTCTGCAGTTCTCAGAGAGTTTTGTTTCTCTGATAAAACTCACAGAGCTACACAGAACACAGAAGTTCATGTGGTTGAGGCCATGAAACTTATCTGACCGAAGTTTTCTCTTTTTTTGTCTCTCTCTCTCTTGTAAAGTCTGAATTCAAGGATAAGGTAAAGGCCTCAGCTCACTCGACAGAGAAACAAAGTCAAAAACACAAAAGATTTCCAAACATACAACAGAAAAATCTTGTGTTTTCTATTCACACATTTTGGTCAAAGTGATGCATCAGAGCAAATGGCGTACTGCTAATCTTGCACAGCAAACTATGAGACGGGGCCCCGCCCAGCAGGTGGCTGAAGTCCGCCAGGTCGATGAGCCCCCGGGACCCGTGGAGCACAGAATGTGTCAGTCCTGCAGGATGCTGTGAGGCCGGGGTGTAGTGGTGGCCCGTTGGAGGTATGCCGTGACTGCTGAAGATGTAGCCTTCGTGGGTCCAGCGAAGAGGCTCTCCGCTGTACTCTATTTGGGTACTGGGGGCCGACACCACTCTCCGCCGGTCAGGGGAGTCTTGGGGAGTCATGGGGTAGTTGTATTCGCCTGCCGACTTGCGAAGAAGAGTGCCTGGGCGTATTCCCTGATCCCGGTACTTGGACAGAGAGACATAGCGTTGGCGGTCGATCCCGGTCTCAATGGCTTCCTCGTGACGTCGACCGGTTCCTTGCAGGAGTTTAGAGCTGAGAAACAATGTGGACGGTGGAGGTGGACACTGGGTACCCACCGAGCTCAAGAAGGTCTGACTCTGGTCCCAGCTGGATCCGGAATCGGACAGGCGTAGCCCACGTTTCTGCTGCAGGGGAGTTTGCTCGGGTGTAGGAAGTAGACCTGGATCCAAGTCGCCTGCTTTGACCCAACCATTGGGCATAACGAAGAGTGTCTCTCCCTGCGAGCGTGGCCGGTCCGTGCCGCTGTGCCGGGATACACTCATCACGGAGCCACTCCTGCTTTGTCCCATCATGCAACGCTCCTTCTCACTCTTCCGCTGACTACTGGACGAAGGAGTGTTGCTGTGCGAACGGTGACGGTGTTTTTGGCCCATGATCCAGCACACTGCCAGGCCTGAGAGCGCTGCCCCGGTGGAGAATGCGGAGACTGCAGCAACAACCAGCAGGTTCAAAGTAACAAGACTTTCAGGCTCATCCATAAAACTCTCACGCAACAGACCTGCAAGAAAGAGAGCAAAATATGTTACAATCCAAAAACAGCAGGTCTAGAAGGCCAAAACTCAGTTTTAGGACTACTAAAAAACACTGTAACATCTACAGCTATTGACATGATTAAGCTCAGGAGGACTAATCATTTAAAAATTGACACTTGAATGGTTTACAAAAGCATCAAAGAAGCTCCTCATGACTTAAGAAGCGGTGTGCAATTGATCTAGTGAGTTTCTGTATATTACAGCCCCAGCAATCGATCAGAAAACAAGAGACTGTTGACTACAGTCTCTCCTAATTCAGTAAACTATATATAGTGTGTGTTTCAGTAGACTAAGACCGTGGCCTTCCAGAGATGGAATATGACCTCTGAAACCTTGCACTTAAAAGTCCTGCCTCAAGAACCGTGAACATGTAAACACCCCTGTCAATCACTGACCATAAGTAACCTGTGCAATTGAGCTTTATACTCGAAATGTGAGTAGATGTAAAAAATATTCTAACTAAAGGGGTCTAAAGAGATCATTCTGCAAATTCAAAGAACACAGCAGTTTTTGAAGTTGATGACTCATGCTTTTCATACTCTACTTTCTAATCGTTTCTATTGGAATTGGCGTATGTGTAATCCTGGCCTTTCTCTTTCTCTCTTTTAACAGCATTTCTTGTACTCTTTCTTCTGCTGTTCCCTGTGAGATGTCCTTGGTTTTAACCTCTATTTTCTCAGTCTACTTCTTTTCCTCTATTATCTCCCCTCTTGGCTTTCTTCTCGCTGACTATCTCTCCTCTAGCAGTGCCGTTTATGTGTGGGCTGTTAGCCGTTTCAGAAATGAGAAGCTGTCAGACTCTGCGTCTACCCCAGTATCCAAACTAGTAAATATCTTGACAGTAAGAGGACTTTTAAAAGAATAGTTCACCCAAATAGGAAAATTCTGTCATCATTTACTCACCCACATGTCAGTCCAAATGATTTCCCTTCTACTGTAGGCCACAAAAAGAGACGAACTGGTTTTGAATGACATGAAGGGAAGTAAATGATCATTTTCGGGTGAACTGTTGAATGTTTGGTGGCACACTCTTTCCGTTTATAAAGTAATATTGTGTGCAGAAAGAATATTATGGTACTGCCATTGTGGTATAGTGTCCAGAATATGGTACTACCAAAAACAACTGTATATACACTCTTTGACAAAGCACACTTCTATTCCCCCACATGCATAGACAATGACACAGGCACACACACACACACACACACACACACACAAATCCCAATTTTCTTATCTCTTCTTGTATTGTCTCTCTCTCTCTCATCCCCTTTCTGTTTTCTGCCATTAAAACTGTTCTAGTCTCAGCTGGGAATCGCAGCTCTCATTGCATTTGTTCATTGTAACAGCAGGAGTCTGCTGCACACAACACACTCAACAACTCAACCCGTTTCTTAATATTTTGTTTCCTTTGAACATTCCTAAAGACTATAATACTGCTACAAGATTGCTTATATTGTGTGTCTCTTCAGAGGTGTAGCAATCATTTCAAGTGAAAGACACAGAAACCTCCTGACCACTGATAGATTTCTCTTATCTCTTTGTATTATTTGTATTTGTAGCATATTTTAATAGTCTCAGTAAGATTCAGTAAGACTTCATTAAGGGTTAGTAAGATTTTTATTTTTAAAGAAATAAATACTTTTTTTTAGCAGTGATGCTTTAAATTTATAAAAAAAAAAGTGACAGTAAAGACATTAATAATAAATAATGTATAATAAAAAATTATAATAAATGTTTTGAACTTCCTATTCATCAAAGAATCCTGAAGAAAAAAATCTATTATGGTTTCCACAAAAATGTTAAGCAGCACAACCGTTTTGAACATTAATAATAAATGTTTCTTGATTTCTGAAGGATCATGTGACACTGAAGAATGAAGTAATGGCTGCTAAAAATTCAGCTTTGCCATTATAGGAATAAATTACATTTTAAAATATATAAAAATATAAAAATTTTAATAGTATTCACAATTTCACCATTTTACTGTATTTTTGATCAAATAAATGCAGCCTTGGTGAGTATAAGTACATAAAACATAAAAACAGTACTGTTTTTGCAGCAAATGATATATTTCAGCAATCCTGACAAGACAGAGAAAGCAACTCACTGCGCTTAGCTGGATAACTTAAATAGCTTTATAATGTCATCTAAAATGATCATTAACACAAACTCTGGCTATGGCTAATTTTAATGTACTTGCCTGCTTCTGTCAAACTCCAGCAGCATCAAACAGAGTGATTTCAAACAAGCTCTGAACAAACTTTTTTTCTCTCTCTCTGTTCTGATATTTTTTGGCATTCAGTGTTTCACTCGTCTCAGGCTCTTTAAAATATGACTGAACTTCTGTGTGATGGATGGAGAGAGCGAGGACAGAAGAAGACAGGTGTTTGATGTAGACGAGAGGATGGCTGACTGGCAGACTGGAGCTGTTTCAGCAGGAGTGCTGAGTTTAATGAGCCTGTGACTCTGGTTCATATATCCCAGAACCAAATCATATTAGGCTGGCCAGACGGCTGCCATTTTACAGATGCATTTCTATGGGCTCATTATATTATGAATGTGCCTAAATTTCTTTTCAAGGATCTCTTTAATTAGCTCCCATTTGCCTCTTGACGTTGGGGTTAATTTTGTTCTCCATGTTAATTCCATCCCTCCCTTTCCTCTGTCTGTAAATACATCCTTCAGCCTCCAGCTTTATGTTGAATGTTAATTTAAAGCGAGTAAACACACTCTCACTGCATGTGAGGACTTAACACATTGTACAGTGATTCTGAGGTTCAGAAGTCTAACTCTCTGGCTATATTCATACAACCATATTTACCACAACATTGTGACTAGTGAACCGTATTGTACATATAATGCAGACATGAGAGGGTTGAATACTGTATGCACACTGTAAAAAATGACCGTGAATTTAACGGTAAAAGACTGTAAAAATGCTACAGTAAAAACCTGTTAAATGGTTAACGGTAAATTCCCCTACTATATATGGTGAAAAACTGTATTGGACATTACGTGTAATTTTACGGTAGTATACCATTTTTGGAAGTGAAAAAGACTGTATAATTTACAGTGAATAATTCCCAGAATTCCCTGCGTTATACATTTCAAATTTGATGTTTTTTTTGTTGAAATAACTATGTTTCTTCTTAGTTTTTTCTTATCAGTTTTGTATATTAGGGTTGTATGTTACACCTAATGTTGTTAAATGAATGTTTATTGCATTATTTCAGTTTCATGTGTGTTACCATGATGGTGTTTAGTGTTTGTGTGAATGACACCGTGCACCTTCTATATATACGTTATTATTTAAAAGCTGCTTGTGATGGGCTTTGGTTTATCATGTGACTTTCTCCTCACCAACTGCATTTGTTGGTTATCAGTGTATTACAAAGGTACAAAACAATTTCAGTACTTCAATAGGTTGGTATATTAACATTATATCAGTTAATGAAATTACGGTATTTAACTGTAAATTTAAGTTAAAACCGTAAAACCTAAAA